CGAGAAACCACCAACAGCTACAGCGCCACCGCCTCCGTAGGCTCATCTTAATGAAAAAGACGGCAGCGTCCCTACCCGTTCCCCATAACCCCATAACCCCCTCTTTTTCCTCTCCACCACCAATTTAAGAACCACAACAGCACCCCACGTGGATAAAATATTGATTAAAACGTGCCCTCAATCAATCCCACTGTCATGGATTGCGCTCTTATTGACCCCATATTAAGTAGCAGACATTAGTGGTTATCGCTAACACGTTACAATAATTTGCAATGAAGTACCGCAGTTTTATGCTGGCTAACTGCGTTCCGCAGTGTACACCGTCGTTAATGAAATAATCGAAGGTTATTTACCTGTCCAGCTATGCAACGTGATTGCTACTAAGAAAAACCTCTGTCTCCTCCGGCAAAGGACGCGTTTTCCTGGGAAGTAAAAAAAAGAAAAGAAGTGTAGTACGAAAATATAAATGAAACAGAGTAGCCGCCAGCATATACAAAAAAACAACAAAAATGACGGTCAAGCGGCGATGTTTTAAAAAATAACGCGGAGGTCCGCGGGAGGTAACGATGTTTCTGTCCAGTTCTCAAGTCGTCCAAACACGATCCTACTTTCAAAACATTAAAAACATAAAAATAAAAATGACACTTGGGAACGGAATGCTTTTCAAGGGGCCGCGTAGGACCTAGAAACCTGACTAGGTCTACTGCCCCCGCTGTAATAAAGGGTCACCTCCCGCGTTCCTGTTACTCGCGGCAAGTGTTACATTAGCCGAAGTGTATAAACCTGTGGCAGAAGAGTAATAACGCTCAAGGCTCGTGAAAGTAAAAAAAAAAAAAAATATAAGCACAACGTAGGGCACGCGAGAGTGGAAGAAAAATTCCTAGCATTATTTCTGAGAACCCGTTTTTTTGTTCAATATATCTTTAAAATGTATGACACCCGAAAAGAAAAAAAGATATTGTGGGTCGTGACATGAAAACGACAGATTTGCATAACATACCTTTACTTGTGTTTATTCTTTTGTAACAAAACTAACTTATTTTCGCCTGCTGAATAATATGCCAAAGCTCGCACTAACTGAGACCATTCCCACGGGACTAAGAATGATTTTTTTAACCACAAAACGTCGCGACCGAAAGACATTATATGACCACAATATGACAAGGGTGGTGACCTGACTACGGTTAACGTTCCGCTTACAAAAATTCGACGTTCCATTTCGTCCGTCTGAATGGTCAGGATAAAATCTGGATTACTCGACCAAGGTTAGTATCAGTGTACTTAGTCTTCGTAGAAACCAGGGAAATATAAAACAAACCAACAGAATAATAAAGAAAGAAGATGGATGTTCGTTTCACGCAACTTGGACCAGCCCATTCAGAGAGCATCGTCTTAAAGGGATGCTGAACCGAAGGTTTATTACGGGAAACAACGCAGAAGTTCTAGGCAGGAGGCTACAAACCCGAAAGCATAACTCATAAAGCAATATCTCCAACGGATGGTCGTTTTTTGTTGTTGTTGTTTTCTTTGTGAAAGAAGAGCGCTCTTCAACAAGGCCAAAAAGGCCCGTGACGTCGCCATTCTCGTTTCCTCCTCTTCTCGCCTTGACTCTGCGATGACGCGAAGAGGGAAGGAAGCAAGGCCGTTTTTCCCCTCCTCCTCAACTATTTTCAGGAAACGCGACGTCGCGATTCTCACTCAATCCCATCCTTATTTTACAAAAGTACGGCCATCTGTTCCACATATATCTTTATGAGTAGTGTTTTGGAATTTATGGCGGGACCCCGTTGATCACTCCTGCTACTTTATTTTCTGATGTTCAGATTTCGGTCATGCATCCCTTTAAGGCTGCTTGCCAGCGGCCGCAGTGTGGTTGGGGAGTCGTGAGTCTACGAACGCACGCTGTGGCCGATAACGTCACACGATCAATTTAAACGTGCATATTTCCTAGCAAGTCGTCGAAGCTCATTTGCCAGCCTAAAGTCACAATAAGAAAATGTAAAAAAATGTATGACCCAAGCATATGCTGAGTTTTCTGCTAAATAATCATGGTCAACGCCCTGATGTCGAGATGGCATTAGATTGCAACACCGGATAAGCAGATGCTACTTTCAGACCTTGACCGATCGTTCGATTTACGTTTCAACATCCCCGTAAATATAAGCACTGAGCTCTCATATGTTCTAGATGGTTCTGGTCATGCCAAAAGCGACTCAATAGTCAGAGTGCCTAAACACCCCAAATTCTTTTCAGGACAGAGTCGGGTCTTTGGAAGCGGTGGCCAGAATATGGCGGCCCCATGTTATCGAATAAGACGGGTGTGAGTGAACCTATTGTCAGTTTTACTTCAAGTCCGACACCTGCCGATGCTGCGGTTAGATGGAGTCAATCAGGTAAAAAGCGTAAAAAACAACAACAACAAAAAAAACCAAGAGGTCAACCTTGCTAATGATGCTAGTCTGGTACTTCGTATTTGGGAAAAGGGAATAGGGATAAAAGAATAGAGAAAATAAAGATCAAAGGAGAGAGAGAATAACTGCTAGATTAGTTAAAGTTGGCTTGTTCAGGCCAGTTGTTCCGAAAAACTCTCTCAGTGCCTTGGTAGCATTCGGGCTTTCAGATGTTGCTTTCTATGGGCCTAGCAAGGTCGCCGTAGTTTTGTTTGGTCAGCGGGAATGGCTAAGAACGTTCGCATATATTTTTTGGGGAAGTTGAAGGCTTCACAAAGGCACAGGATGTGTTTAAGGGAGTGAACCTCTTTGCCTATAAGGTGCAGATACGTGTTTCTATAGCTAGGGAACGACGAGACAAATTTGGTGGATTATGCATTCTGCTGTCCGCGAAAGTATACTGGAGGGACTTTAAATTAAAGGTGGGGGTCGACGTGATGTAGGCGTCTGTAACAATTGTCGGGATTGTTCCAAAGTGACGACGAGATGTCATTTCCGAGTTGAAATATCATGTGTGTTTATATCTGATCGAGTAAACGGCACCGGTGTTACTAACTGCGTTTTGTGCGCATCTCGGACAGCCATGTCTGCGATGACGTTTCCCGCTTTTCCCCAATGACATGGACTCCACTGTGGGACGATGAGCGACCTTCTTGGGGTGCATATTTTAGTACTGTACGCACATGTTACGAGTCAATTGTGGATCTTGCCAGCGTTTATTTAGTGACGATGAAGCCCGTAATGCAGCTTTGGAATCAGAGAATACAGACCGCGTGTTCGGAGGTTCGTCAAGTACAAACTGGACGGCTCTCCGAATTCCTACGAGTTGCGCTGCCGTGGACAATGTTGCTCGACTCAATGTCGAGAGAACCGTGACATAGTTTGAGTGGAGTAGAGTCAATCTAACAACTCATCACCTTTGTGTGTTTTCTATCACCAATTAAATTAATCGCGCACAGTGAAAGCGCCGCGAACCTGCGCTTTTATATGCGCGCGTTGGGTTTAGCCGGTTGCAGAAAATCCACGAAAACAACTAGAACCGTGACGATTCCCTCTTTGGTCCTGCTTAATTAGGGAGTCTTAGGGAACCGTGTCTGCACATCCGATACGGGACGGAGGCCCTCCCGAATGAACTGCGAATACGCTACCACAAAAGACTCGCATATCCGCAGTTCGTACTGGAGGGACCGTCGTATACCCTATCGGATGTGCAAAAGCGGTTCCCTAACACTCTTTAATAGTGAGTTTTAGGGAAGTGTATTTGCACATCCGATACGCTGCGATTGGCCATACGGTAGGAATTGCGCAAGCACTACTGCAGGAGACTCACGCATGCGCAGTTCGTACCAAAGGGCCTATCGTACCGTATCGGACGTGCAAAAACGGTTCCCTTAAACTCCCTAGTGTCTCCATCAGATCGTATATCTACCGTCGGCTACGGCAGAGTAACGGAGTATTGCCGAACCTGGGCGCTGACCGGGTTATTGTCTATAGTTGACGTGGAAATCCATTAGCAGTAACAACCGGGCCGCCCGTCACCTTCTAAGCAGTGGCAATTCACAAGCTGTTCCGAGTTCTTGTGCATTATTCTGTTCTATACGCTACTGTTGATTCTTTCTCCTTGCGTTCACATGTCAAGAAGCACAATTTGCGAGCTCCTTTTGCACGTTCAAGTGGGCGCTTCTTATAGTACGTCTGAGGGCAGTACCGACGCCGCAATACGATAAAGCAACGCCAAGAAGGCATCGTCAGGATGTTCGTCGTCGTCTTCTGTACTTCCTTTTATATACTTGACTAATTACGCACATACAAAAAAGTGCAGGACCGCCGCAAATTTACTCTTCGCGACTGCTTTCGCCCGTGATGGAAAACGCGATAAGTAGACGGGCGCAATGACGTTGAAAACTTGGTGCTACTTGATTTAAATAATCGAATCGTGGCGTCGCTCGGTCTTAGTGGGAAACGAAGTACATTCCGGCCTGCCCTCAAACCAAGTAAGTCGTGACGTCACAATGCCTATAATGGTGTAACAAACAAACTTTTCTGCCTACCCGCGCCGAAGATGCGGCTTCTACGGGCACGGCCACCACATCTTCCAAACCGACCGTACCCTCTCCTTTCCCCCGAGAACCCTTGCCTTCTCTTTCCCGCAGCGTGGACACTGCGGAGAGGATCTGCTCCTTCGGTGCGGATGCCGGCCGCGGCATGCTCCGAAGTCCGCTACGGCGCGCCGTGTGGCGAGCGGGTGGACCTAACTGGATTGGATGATGCGTCTGGAGGAACTCTGCTGGCCCCAAAAAAAGGATCGGAGAGAAGGTCCCCGTATAAATGCGCAATCAGGCTTTCGCGAAGACTCTCACTGTCGAGAGTAAGTGCAAGTGAAAGCGACGCTCGACCCACTCGTTCGCACGTTTGGGCACCGAGAGGACCTCCGCCGCCTCTGGATTGCGCCGTGCAGTCTCGTCCCGTTTACCGCGCACCTGTGCTCGGGCGGTGTGAAACGAGCGTCACCCCCTGGAGTAGCCGCCGCACTCTTTTTGTCATCTTGGGATGCCCACGCTAAAGGTAGGTGTCGGATGGGGGGCTCCTCGCGTTGTCTTGCTCTGCTTTAGATTAGAGCGGTTTTTCTCTGGTAGGAACACGTACCACTCCAACTTGTAAAATGTTTCGTGGAACCTACTTTTTCTCATCTCTGTTTAGCTTATAGGTTATCTGTTGCAATGTTGATAAAGAACGGACACAAGCTAATACCGTTGGCCCGAACAGCAGATCTAGCTTCGGCTTTACGTTTTATTGGGTAATGATAACAAGAAAGAGAGCAACAAGAATTGGTTTTAAAGTGGCTGAGTTTGCTTCGCGGATGACCCGATGAAGTGAAGCGCACCTTTTTGTGTATACATAGCCAAGCGAGCTGTCGCCGTTTCGCTCTTGTTTATTCTAATGCCGGGGAGGTATGTAGAGCCCAGAGCTAAAATGTCCTGTTCATTTTTTTTTGTCATGTACTTTATTTCAAGAGGACAAGTAGATGGTCGTCGTAAACCAACCCTGTCCTTTAACTTCTCCCTCGGACTCACGAACCATTTTTTTTAATTTCTTTGCGAAGATCCTTTCTATTTTCAAGACACCAATATTTGCGTTGGAATAATGTACTCAGCACCTCCAGAAACACAGCTTTAACTTTCTTACCAAGTCTTATTGCAGTACTACCGAAATACCTCTCACTCATCCGAAGATTTGGTGAAAACGAAACCTTTTAAGGTTTTAACGTTTTCTCGGTAGGATGTACAAATACCTGAACAAGTTCTATGTAGCATTGCGACCAAAATGAGATCACTCGTATTATCTTGACCTTGGTACGGAGGTTCACACAAAAGTATCACACCCCAGGGAGAGCTCAAACAGAGTCCAAATTTCCTTAAACTACGAAATGTCGAAGTATTGATCGAATCGAAGTGGACCACAGTATTTTGTTTTTGTTCTGCCTATAGAAGACTGGAACGACGATAGTCAGCATTCGTACAATGTTAATCGAAACCCATAGGAAGAGCATCTACTGCTTTTGACAAAAGAACTACAAGTCTCCATGCTATCCCAACATAACTCTCACCAAAATTATTCGATTATAATTTCTGTCTCTCCAGGTTATGTTCTGGTTTAGCAAATTGTCTCTACGTCACAGTACGGTGTTGAAAACATAGTGCTCGCCGAAGACGATAAAACATGTAGATTGATTATATACCACTAATCGAGCATGCAGTGCTACACTTTGTCACCATATTTTTGGACGTTATCACGTATGCTGCATAGGTGATAACATCGCAGTTACAAGAGATTCTGTTTTGCAATAGGGCATTCGAAGTTGACTGTTCCTTCGATCCTTCCTTTAAAAACATGCGAATTAAGATATGCCACCCATCCTTACCTCTTACGTTACGCACATAGCACCTATGCAGCATGAGATGCTTTAGTTTTTGTATTTTCACAGGTTGTTTTTTAATGCAAGTAATTTACCCAAATCCGAATTCGAACTTTTTAGCTTGATATAAACAAGATCTCAGCATGCACTGAAGTCTGCGCTAAATGTATAATATTACCAAAGAAAAATACTTTTTTGAACCAGGGACACCTTTGCAATAGTATGGATGATTAAGTTTCGCTAGGACCCACTCCAGACAATAATTTATAATCCCTTAATATATAGATTGATCTGTGTGCAAGTGCGGAAAATTTAAAAATTATAAATAAACGTTAATTTTTTGTCAGTGATTTTTTGAGACGAGATTTGTGTCAATATTCTAATATGGGGCTGGCCGTTTAACTGCAGCGTTTACTGATCTCACACAACTCTATAGCTGATAGTTACAGTGCGGAAAGCTGAAATGTTTCTCTTATAAAAAATAAAAAAGTAAGGACTTAAATCGCTGTAACCACTAACATAATGAGATCAATATATAACTTTTCTTGTAAATAGGTTTATAATTTAATTTATGCTCTCACCCTCGCGCTTTGTTTTGAATTATTTTAACTCTGCTTATCCTGCTTTTATCACGAACTATTTGTCAACCTGCTGAAAACTCCTTAACGCTTTAATATTGTTTTCTGACCGAGAGGCAAGTCTAAATAACATTAAAGTTAACGACTACGTCTCCTTGATTGATCACCTATATAAAAACAAAAAGCTTTCGACTTATATAGGCAGTTTTGAAACTCACAATTAAAATATATTTTAAAATTTTCTCAAACTCTTGTGAGCGAAAAACGTGCCCAAAAAGACTGCCGATTTTACTAGTTTACCGTGAAGTAATATGCAACCTCAGTCACGGCACTAAATATAGAGTAATAAAGAAGCAGACTAGAGGTAGGGAAATTTGGTTACGTCGCACTAAACGAAACACGCTGCTATCTTCTGGGACACTTCCAAGCGAGACCCCGAAGAGTCTGCCGCCAGGGGTTGCGTTCCCTCGGCTTTTGTTGCTGCAATGAGCGCAGCTTTGCACCGTCTTTGTTTCATACAAAAGACGTCATGACGCCGCTTTTGTCTTTCGTCCTTTTCATAAGGCCGCAGCTAAGGCAGGTAATAAAACACTATAAAAAAAGAAATGAAAAGAAATTTACGTTCCATCTAGTTCACGCGCTTGCTTTGAAGTCACCGCCGCTTTATTTCCACACGTGTCAGTTACAATACGCGATTGAGATTTCCCCAGACATTGGGTCTCACCATTGTCAGTCGCAGCAACGTTGTCCTAAATATAGTTTGCTGTCGCGTCTCAAAATGGTCAGCGCGGAGAAGTTTGACAAGCTGACCTAACGTACTCCCACAATAAAAATAAATTTAAAAAAAGATGACGGCTAACCCGCAGTAAGGAAAGAAGACACGCAAGACCGGCTAAGAAAAACTCAGAATATGTTTTCGCTCCCACTGAGTACTGTACAATGTCATATGCGTAATGGTTTTAACGCGTCGTAGGGAAACGAAAAAAAAAAAAGAAACAACGAAAAAACATTACAGTGAGTGTCGTGACTGGAAGCATCTGGTCTCGACTTGGTGGTAATTGGAACGGGAAAAATGAGAAACAGTCAAGCGGACTACGACAAAAAAAAATATTTGAGTCAGACGACATTAGGGAGAATAACGGTAAATGCAGCCGTCTAGCAGACTCGAATCCCCCAACACGTTACATATGCGTCCACAATGTCCACTCCAGAAAACTGTTAGCGCGAACAAGCCACCGCTGGTGTTCTTGGCTTATCGCTCGTTATTGAAGGACTATCATAAAAACTACTATAAATATTAAAAGTGCTCAATTCAAGCACTAGACTAAGTGATCACTTTTTTGCCCGCCAATACCCTTTTAAAGGAAAATGCATAACCGCCATAGTCGTGTTTGTGCAGCTAGTTCCGTGTAGTGTACGTATTTACGTATAGGTAAATGAAAGCCTCAAAATTACTCAAACAATCCTTAATCACCCAACCGATTCTTTGGGAAGGCCCGGTTCCTTTAGGAATCATATATAAATACTTGAACTCTCCATGGCGAGTACAATATACGCATATACTCTGCACGCCGCCCTACTCAAATACGCCCGCTTTAATGATTCTTTTTTTTTTCTCAACACTCCTGGAAGTCCGCTTGCGCGTAGATCGTTGAACTTTCGTTAGCGGCTCTTTCTTGAAGATCCCGCAGCGCGGGTAGTTTATACGGAAAAGGTCGGCAGGTCGCATTGACAGACGCTGGCTGAGCCAGACCTAAATATAGAGATCCCCCACGCGCAAAACCTTATCCAGCCGACCTCCCCCTTCGCTCCTGGATCCCACAGCTCCCATGTCTCTCTCCTAGCACTGGTATAGTACACGATCGCCCTCCCCTCCTAAAATGACGCTTAGTATAATTGCCGGAGAACAAGTGCGTGAGCAAGACCTAGCTTTTTGGAGGATGCGACGAAGTTGCAGCTCAGGCGCTTATACGGCTCCCCATTTGTTTCTGTTGGTGTCGTGACTAGGATTCATCATAATCAAGCCAGCACTCTGCAATCTATTTTCTCGGCTTCCCGGCGAACGACCGGAGGCGTCGTGTAATTAGAATGCTCTTCTTGCTTGTTCGTGGCTTGCTCTCTTGAGTTTTAGGCACAAATGCCGCCAGCGCCGACATTGCGAGGGATGCTGCAAAGATTATTTCGTGCCTAATCTTTCACGTGTCTCTCGTCGTAGAAGCATAAAAACAAAACAGTCGTGGCTTCTTTTTTTTCCTCGCCCCACAGACGACAGATTGAGTCATTAAGAGGGGGCGATCTCCCTTTTTGAGTGAGGCTCTGAAATGCAAATGACAGCTTAAGTGGATGGGCGTCCACGTTTCATGGGGAAGTTACGCAATGTCGCTGCGTGGGGCGATCGCTTCGCAAATTGTTTTTGACTGACTGTGTGCGCAGAGGCGCACTCTGCTTCTTTTAGAGCAATAGCTTTATATGAGAACACCGCACTGACCTTGCTTACTCGTGCTGGTGTTGGTCGCAGCCTAGAAATTCCATGAAAGACAGTGTCAGCAACGGAGCGCAGCTGTTGGCTCGAATGTCACAGATCGCACGATCAATAATTTTGTGGCGCAAGGAATGATGTGTGTGTGTGTGTGGGGGGGGCATTAGCGATGCACTAACACTTCCCTCTTTCCCCTTGCTCCAATTAGAAAGAACGATGGGTGTGCACTGGTAGGAAATACGTATTAGTGTTATCACACCTGTATTGCATTGAGCAGAATATCTATGCCGGCCGATTCGTGAACTACTGGAATGTGTCTGCCGTATATCGCGGAGTAGGCATTTGTGTGCTCAAGACAACATTAGAACTGGATTTTATATCAATAGCATCAAGTTTCGTTACCTCGGAGAGCAGTATATATATATATATATATATATAAGGCCGGACTCCAGCCGAAACGTCGAAGAATAAATCGTCCGTTGTTGCTGTTTTCACCAAGGGTTCTTTTCTTCTGATATATATATATATATATATATATATATATATATATATATATATATATATATATATATATATATATATATATATATATATATATATATATATAACATTTAAGATATTATAAGCCATATGAGTACAATTAAAACATATAGAGATTTTCCCCACCACAATGCTTTACCATGTTTAGCACAGAAAATTTTATTTTCCTCTTGCCGTAAGTGTAGACCGCTCCATTTCAATCATTTGAATTGCATAAATCTGACGGTCCTCAGACACCAATTGATTCGGCTAATGGTTAGTTCCAACAAATCGTTTATTCGTGTCAACTGTGTTTCATATCTAGTTGAAATGTCTAGCTAATTTCATTGCCGAATTACCGACGCGTAATCGCGCACCTTTATCCTACGTAGAACGGTAAACTGCGAATCATTTCACAACGTGCGTCATTGTTCAGGAGGGTTTTTCTGAACCAATCGATATTGCATTATTTAATACCGTAACTGAAATTTAAACTTACACTGTCGCGGTTCGTCGCTTCAGAAAAAAGGGAAAAATATACATTTACATGCTCATTCTTTTTATGCTTTATGCTTTTTTATGTTGTTAATCTACGAACACAAAGAGGTTAACCTGCGTAGATGTAGAATCGCTACTTTAAGAGACAGAGAAAATGCTGTGCCTTTCCTTTATCTTTACTTGGGCGAAAGATGAGATTCACAAAATCGATAGGCTCCCGGAAGTGGTAAAATGTATATTTCTTTAGCAACAATGGTTGTCTGGTTAAGGAGGTTCGAGGTCATCAATTTAATATGTAGCGCTCAAGCAGAAAACAACTTTAAAATGTAAATAAACAGTTTCTTTCAATGACTAAATGATGATCGGCTACCATTAATCAAACAAGTTTCTACAGATTCCCAGAACGTAACCTAATTTTCGGTCCAGGGTTGATTAATGCTCGCCTACTTCGTTGAGATTATTTCCCGAGGGTGGGATAATCTGGAGCGGTATGCCCGCAGTGAATAATCTCTACTCGGTGATAAGCAAACATCGTCAAAAATAAATGAAGGGTATCGTTCATTGGATATTCAATCGCGAACGATATTATCTCAAGCACCTCGCATCAGGTCGATGCGGTTTATAGGCCTTAGGAACAGGCGTGACGAGCTAAGTAAGCCTCGTGTTTGTCCAAAGCCCTCAAGGAGTGAACAAAGCATCGTGAAACAACCGTCCACCGAACCGCAAACCAGGAAAGTCTTTCGGTCATGTAAACGAGTTCGCCTCAGAAGGGAAGGAAGCGATGGAAAGCGAGCGTCTTCGGCGATTCGAATCGCCGATGTTCAAAGATTGCTTTTTGTCTTACTTTCGTCTGCGTTTCTCGTCTGGGCAAACTCCTCCCGTTCCAGATCTTCGTCCTGCTGGCGTGCGCGGCGCTCGAAGCGGGCGGCGCACGAAGCTCTAGTCACGGCTACTCCAACCCCAACGCCGGCTACGGTACAGCTGCCTTCTCACACTACAAAGGTAAGTAAGCTGTGAGCCGAAACAATGCCTTCGTGTGGTACGAATGGTGGCGCCGTCGGGCCAGACTTACAAGCGGAAGAGGAACTCAGCCGGATCGAATGAATTTGACTTACGAGGAAGAAAGAGCCGTTAAAAGATAAGCAAGAAAACAGTCTTACTAAAAAAAAAAAAAAAAAAAAAAAGAACGCCGTATCAGACCAGTTTAGCATCATAAACTTCCTTTTTGAGAGGAAAAGTGCGCCGGATGAAAATAAACCGAAAAATATAAGACTAATGCGAGACAACAGTAAAGCTATTCCAAGATGTAGTCTCTATGACACAAGAGAGTCACTAGTTTTATACATATTTTAATTCTGAAGCTGCCACTAGGAAAACTGTGGATCTTTTAGTACAAGTGAATACCACTGAAAAATTAATTCGCATTAAAACATGTAACTCCGTTGGGTTTAAGCTTAATTAATAAGCTTTCGAATAGGAATGCGCAAAACATCCGATTTTACTAAACGAACCAATAAGGGCAGCATAAATATTTGAAGGACTACAACTTATAAAAGCGCAATTAAGTTGTAGTTATAATGGTTTGTCCTGATTGCAACTGCCTGAAAGTCAAAGAAATTTATGTATACGCACTTCCACAATGCATGATACATGTGACAATGTACAACATTTTATATCCACTAAGGCGTTGCATATTAAGGATTTATTGGCAGGATAGTAAGGCTCTCTATACTGCCAGAACTCTCTACAAACTACCGCCAACAATCTGGAAGGTTTTGTTCCTGTTTCAAATACAGTGTATCGCAATGATCACCTATGACCCCATTCTCACACCTTACGTAATTATCTTATATGTAGACATGTACACGGTACCCCCAAATAGTAACTAAATACCATTACTCGTTACTCGCTCAAAAAATAACGAAACACGTTACTCGTTACTGATTCCCAAAAGAAACGCGTCACTTTACCTCAAAAGTAGCGAGTTACCATTGTCTTTACTTTGACGAGCAAATACACAACTATTTTTGCTTGTGGTTTATTGTGTTCGTTTTAGTAGTCGTTGCATTTAAGCAGTAGCTGCCTCTCGAAAGTTTTAGCAGTGATGTTTCTTCACTTCACTGAGAACACATCTTCGGCGACGCTGAAGAGTCGTTCTACTTACGCGCTCGAAGAAACTGCAGTGTTGTGCTTCAGGAAGAGGTGGTGAATCTGGGATTTCCCGCTCTTTTTTTTCTTCTCTGTTTCTAAAGTTCTAAGTTGACAATGGGTACTGTGCCTTTCCGCGTTGGCAACCTCCGGACGTACATTCAGCCTGTACACAATTCTAGAATGTTCAACGAACGACCCTTCTTGTATTCTCTCGGTAAAAAGTATTCCCAGCTGTAGAGTTCGACTCACGTCTTTAGCGAAAAAACGGTGCTATACTGTCATACCGTTTAGGTGCATTCCAGGCTGCCCACCTGCTTTTGTAGAAATGGACGCATACTCAGGTTCGAATTAAAACGAGGTTGTTTAAACGTTGCCGTACACGTTACTCCTCAAAAGTAACAAAGTACGTTAATTAATCCTGTTCTAAAGAAAGTAACTAAATACGTTACTCGTTACCAAAAAAATTTAATAGCTAGAAGTAACTAGTTACTAGTAACGCGTTACGTACATGTCTGCTTCTATGTTTTAATTTCTCGCCTGTCCTTTCTATCCGCACCAGCGGGCAAGTCTCATGTATCCGGACCAGCAGTTACTTATGCACCTGTGCCACAGGGTGTCCCAGTTCAGCAAGAAGGCATAGGATCATCAAAGATCGCCAAGGGCATCCTCCTCTCCATCCGTGTAGTGAACCCGGATGAGAGCTCCGGCCAACCAACGTATGCTGCCCAAGTTCCAATCCACTTCTCAGGAGGACGCGTCCACACGGGACCGGTCGTCTATGGCCGCGAACAACCCTGCCCGGAAGATCATCAGCACGGACAACAGGTGCAGAGCGTCCAAGTGGACGGTTACGGCGCACGGCCAGGTCGCGTTTATCAGCCATCTTACCAGAACGCCCTCGCAGCAGCCAAGAGCTACGGCGTAGGCCAGCAACAGATTCAACTCGCCGTGCCAAGCAACGCTAAGACCTTCCAGTACCATGGACAGTCCTACGCGGTTCCCGTGTCAGCGGTTCCTGCAACGGCTTCGCAAGAAGACACGAAATCCTACGTAGCCTATGCCGGACCAGGGCAAGGGCAACACTACCACCAAAGTTATCAAGTGTCCCACGGACCTTCTCCGGCCTATCAAGGGGGGCCAGTGTCCGCTCCGTCTGCGGCCTACCAAGGCGGACAATTTTCTGCACAGTCCGTGGCTTACCAAGGATTACCACCGGCGTCCGCTCAAGCCTTCGCAGAAGGAAAGCCATACACGTATACGGCCAATGGACAGACGTTCCAAGTAGTGCAGCAGACCGTTAGTGAAGGAGAACAGCCCGGCTACGGGCATGGAGGTGGGCACGGAGGACATGGAGGTCAGGTCTCCCCGAAGGGTTACGGGGCGTATTCTGTTCAAGACTCCTACAGTATTGAAGCATCACCTGCAAAGTCATACGGAGGAGGAGGAAGTGGTGAAGCAAGTGGTCCAGCCGGAAATGCGATAGGAGGACATCACCTTCAGTACGAAGTATCGGGGGCTTCGACTGCAAAGGGTGGCTACGGAGGTGGTGGTGGCGGCGGCGGTTATGCGGGAGGTCCAAGTTACGGAGGTTCCGGGGGCTATGGGAGGCCAGGATATCAGGTCAGCTCGTATCCAGCAGGACAGTCTTCCTACGGCATCTCTCCGACAGCCTACAAGTCGTCTGATGGGGGGAAATCATCATACGGATCGTATGGAGGCGGTAGCGGGGAGCAGACTTATATAGTCTCGGCGGATGGTGGTCAGGGCTACAAAGGAGAGGAACTCAGCAAGTCCTACCCTTCATTTTCTGGCTCTGGGCCGTCGTACGGTGGTTCTTCAGGTCCAGCGCATAAAGGACATCATTATGGTGGCACTGCACAGCAGTCCTTCAATCAATACACGGACCCTTCTTCGTTCTACTCGGGGAGTCCTTATGCACAGGCAAACAGGCTCGCTTTGCTGAAGTACAACACTTTGATGAGTAGAGCGACGTCCGTTCTTGGACAGAACACGAACCTTAAAGAAATTTCTACAAGATACAACCCTGGCTGGAATTGGTACGTTGGATATACTGGCTTTCTTCTTTTACGATACCCTGCAGTTCTAGTATGGTGCATGGATCGCGTCTTCGACTGGTGTGTTTAACGTCTTATCCCGCCCATACATTAAAAGTGGTCCCAATGTGGAAACAAATCACGTTACAGAAACCAGAGTGTCATGCTATTGACTGTCGCGATCCTGGCGGTTGGCCGTAGAAATGCTGGCGAAAAGCACGAGCGAACGCGAGTGTCGCTGTCATCATGACGTCCCAGGCGTCCCAACTTCCGGCTGCTCTAGCTTCCGTGAACTGTCACAGCGGAGAGCGACCTGCAGCAGAACAGGCGTCTGCTAAATGTACCAAACTGTTGGGACGCCGCCAGGGTCACGACCGGCGACAGCATGACACTTCTTTGACGTCATCAGGCGGAAATCGAGGGACCACTTTTTTGGCCGCGGTAAACACAGCAAGCGCAGACGCTTTCCAGGCACCATAGTTCTAGTCTATAGGAAAGGAGCACGCCGGCGGCGGCGTCTGAGTTGCCTATTGTTTGTACAGAGCCTAGATTGCAGAGAAGATCCAACTCAAACCATGGGGCGCGTTTTCAGTTTAATGGTGGACGCCTCCATCGGAGACTGGTCGCAAGTGCTCATGCGCTGCGTTATCGTGTGGCTAGGAGAAAAGCAGGCAGAAAGTCGGCGACGCTCGCGGACGACCAAAACGTTCGTCACCTATAGCTCGTATTGCAAACGCAGATCATAAACCACGTGACCCCGATCGAGCAGTTAAAAATTCTATATAATAGAGGCTTTCTGACTGTTTGCTGCCACTCAGCTGCTGTCACCGCCTACTCGTTGGGGGACAAATGTGATGAATTGTGCGAGCCTAGTGTGCCCGTCAATATTACGACGGGATTTAAGAGTCTTACAAATTCCGCAAGCTTTTTTTGTGGTGCGAAACTTTCGCGAACGTAATCTGAGTGCAGCGGCTAAAAATAACCTGCCGATGAATATGATCTGTTTGCCTCTAGGGGCGCCCTGGTCAGAGCCTGAGTTATGTCCGCTCCTTTCTTATGACTGGTACGGAACAATTCAACTGACGTATTAATTAATACTAGCTTAGCTCGCTTACTTTGCGTAGTCTCGTTGCCCCCCCCCCCCCCCCCCCCCCCCCTTGTGGATAATTAAGTCTTAAGTTCAAAAGAGATAGTTGCGCCTCGAATAAATTATTTTCGGAATTATGTCCTGATGACACTAGTACATATACCTCAATGAATCGTATTCAATAAGCTCTATGTGTTAACTTGAATGGTATTCACTCATTATAAAGAACTCCAGAATCACAAGCACTCGTGCATGGCAGGCACATACAAAGTTTGGGACTGGATTTTGCAGCTCTTTCTTAAATCGCCACAATTTCAGAGTGGTGTATTGCCATTTAGTACATCGAAATAAAACCGACTTGCTCAAGCACTTTTCACTGTGCTTCCTACGTGATATATGCGCATCACATATTCGCATGCATAGGCTTCATTACAAATTTACCTTTAGGTGATAGAGGCAATATAAAGAAATATAAAAGAAAAGCAATGTGAACCCATCATTATTTTCAAGCAGCTATGCGTGTAGCGAGTAAGTGTGGGGATCCAAGTATAATGTGCTGTGACCGTAATTTGTTTTCGTGATCTCTAGTGCGGCTAAGGTAAACGACAATATTACATTGGCTTTACCTGTACTTTGTGGTTCAACATAGCAGACGCTCTTTATAATATTTTCGAGGATTCACGGATCCCTTTACTAACTCTTTCGAGGGTTCTTATAGCTTTACATCTGGTGGTATGAAACAACAGCATGATGTCTTCATGTAAGCAAGAGACCGGGGAATCGCCAAAAAGTCTAGCAGGACAAACGCAGGTTTTGTGGGCTGAATCTACGAAGTATTCACACGGCATATTTATTCTTTATATTTGATTTATTACACGATTTTATAGGGCCCCAAGTACGTAGGTATTGTGTTTTATTCATCTACATTCTCAATGGTTTATCTTAACTCTGACGTCAATACACGTTACCTTAAATATATCTACAGTGTAACATACCGGTTTCAGATAATGAAACTGCGTTTTTTCACCTTTTCAATTACGGACAAGGTACGTTTAAATACATCACAAATATAACTGAATCTTGAAGAAAAAAAAGCGAACTAAATTTATGGCAAATTGCTTGGCAGTTGTGTTACATACATGAAACGTTTTAGCCTCACAAACGTTTAGCGATACTCCTCGTTTCCAGACGCCAAACGCCTACGTTAACGACGCTCTTCACCATATAGTTTAACGCGTACCGTGTGTACACTTGACAGTAGTTTCTCGAATGAAGCGACACTATCGCTAATCAGGCTGATAAACCTGGCGATCTTTCAGAGTCCTCCATACCCTCGACATCGTCTACCTCAGTGCGCACAAGTGGACGAGCTCCTCCTTGCCTACCTCACTCCTCCTCGCCTACCCCTCTGGTCACATGACCTACCCGTAAACCAATAAGCGTCGAGCACATCACTCCTCTTCTCCCACCCGTCAACCAATCAGTGTCGTTCCTTGCGGCCACGCTTCTATCTAGGCTTCACCTTTATCTGGGTTTCACGAAATGTCGAACCCACAGATAGTTTCAAGTTAAAAAAAAAAAATTAAAAAAGATAGAATCCTTAAATTGATAGACGCGAAGACACGAGGTATCTTAGCAAAATGTCCTTGAGCACTGTGAAGGGTCTAAAAATTACCTTTGCGGAGCTAGGAATATGTTACTTTAATGAAGTGTGTCTTGTTTTACTAAGTGCATATTGTAATGAAAAGCATGTGGCTCGAAGCGACGATTTTTTTATCGCCTGTGTAGGCCGAGCACAAGCAGTGTTTTTTTTAATATCCATTGAAATGTTGTATTCTGTTCATGCAACACTTTCCTAACAATGAGCACGTTAAGAAAATAGTCGGATTTGATTGCTGAATCACGGCTATACGTATTTTAGCCGTTTAATTTTGTTAGAGCAGAACTGGAAAAAAATAACCAATAATAACTTTACTTAAACTACATGGAGCAAGACAATTTCATCGCATAATATAGTGAAAAGAAGAAAAAGAAAAGCTTAAAGTTGTTTCAATCAAATGATGCCGTTACAAAAAATAATAATTTAGTGGATCATGCTTAGCTATTGAATACTTCGAAGTGTGAGAGATGAAACATGCGGTGGTCACCAAACCTTCATGAATCGTGCACATCAGTCTTGTACATATCAGCGCTATACTGGCGCCAGTCGAACCAACGGCAGCGGGAGGGTGGCACAGCCCAAGCAGAACAGATGGCTTGCTATAGGCTGAAAACGCAGATGAACTGGAAGCGTTGCAGCGATTTTGTGGGTCGGTCGTTCTCGCCATACGGCTACCCTCTTGCTCAGTATTGTATGGATGACTGCGAAAATCGTCGGTTATTAGATGGCTCATTAAGTAGGCAATTAAACTTTTTTTTTCCAGTAGCTACGCAAGCATATAGCTACGAACGTGTACACAAATGTTCCCGGAAAAACCTTGTTTTGTAACATGTGTATCTAAAATTTAAAATATAATCTGCTAGTTACCTTCAGGGTACTCTCCCCGTAAAACAACAGACTAGTCCAAATGTTGCTTTTTTTTTTTTTTTTTTGCTTTTGAAACTGTTTTGGAACTCTTCAACGGAAACACTGCCCATAGTCGCAAGAGATTTTTTTTCTTCGTACTTCGTCTCTCCCATCACATCACTCGAATTCAATAATTTATTTTCATTCCTTATTTTAAAATAAACGTAATACGGAGCAAAAGCGGGAGAGTAGGATTGATGGAGAGCCAGTGACACGTTGTTTTTCATCAGAAACTTCTGGATAGACACGGCGGTGTAAGCGGGTGCGTTATCGCGGTGACTCCTCTCTACATCTGCACAATTCCGGTCGTCTTCGTTACACACACCAGCGCTTTGTTTATACATAGTATGCTAAAATTTGCGGGCATAATCTTTATGACAAATTCGATAGTCTTTGGACGACTTTTATTAACAGCGCGAAAACATCTTTTGATATTAGCATCACTTCTGCTTGCCGAATTTCGTCCAGATTATGGTTGGTCTTCAACTAGCCCGTCGCCTTTCTTGAAATGGAAAACCGCTTGTACACTCGCGGTTTGTCCAAAGTGTTGTCTTGAAGCACTTTCCGAAGTGTACCAACCGTTGTTGCCACTGTTTTCTTGGAAACAAATCAAGGTTTCACGCATACTCTTTGCTCCTCGTGGCGAGCCATCACAGAACGGCCGAATGTTGGTTGTTCACACATAGCACAAACAAACAGAAGCTCAAAAAATTATTCATTCCATCTGGAGCTACTGCACTCTGTAGACTGACGCGCAAAACTGCATGCTATATTTTATTTGGCTTGAAAGGAAGGCGAAAGAGGTGACCGAATTCACTAAAACTGTGAAAGATTTAATACACGAACCACATAAGTATGTGTTTTAAGTTTTCTTTCGGGCTTATTAGTATGAGTGTCGTAATCACCCATTAACACCCGCCCGTTGCTTCGCACCGAGGGCAGGAGAGTACGAGAGCTCAGAGGAAAACTTGCGAAAGTGACGTCATTGGTCGGGTCAGAAGACCCATACTCGCCACTAAGCTGGCTCGAGGATGCCGACGACAACGTCACGACGCTGTGGACAGATTACAGGCGACAGAGAGGCTCGCCGCACAACCGGCGACAACCGCTGCCCGTATATCTAAAAACAGATGCGGTTTAGGCTTACTTCTGCCAAAGCATACGATGACTAAAATCACAGATGAAAGAAATGAAAGACGTTTACAAATCTCTGTAATGCGAAATTACACCGCAGCTTTTGAGGAGGTGGAAGGGAGGGCACGGAGGGGAGTGTACGCTCCATGTGCTTCTCCGTACGCTGTCCTCCTCCTCCTCCTTTTCTTCTCCTCCTCCTCTCCTCTTCCCGTCTTCCTCCCCTCCTCCTTCTTCCCTCCTTTCCTCCACCTCCTCCTTCTCTCCTCCTCTCCCCCCTTGTCCTCCTGCTCCGTAGCCCTCCCCCCTCCTCCTCCATACCCTTTCCTGCTCTTCTGCGTACCCTCTTATTCTCCTCCTCCATACCCTCTCCTCCTCCATACCCTCCCCTCCTCTCACAGTCTCCCGGCTAAATCTAGCTGGAAAATTGACGCCATGTGACCTCAACATTAATTCAGTTTCCCGCTAAATTTAACGGGGAAAATGACGTCACCTGACTTCGTGTCACGTCACCCATTAACAAGTTTAGTTTCTCCGCTACATTTAACGGGACAATTGACGTCGCATGACATCAACACCAAAAACATTCCCGCTAAATTTAGCGGGGCGGTGACACCGACGCCGTTATACGCGGAAATAGGAGCCTAAGAGATGCGCTCTAAGAGCTATACACGTCCTTTCCCAACTCAGGTTCCTCACAAAGTGTTTCAGCTTCCCTTTAGTTCCAGGCGCAGCCGACGCTACGAGCCCATGATAACCATCGAATATTGTCAAAAGCTTAAAATCATTATGTTTCTAATTTGCTTCTGTGCGTGTCAAATCATCGCTAAGCCCATCGTATACAGGGAGGGCCCATAGACTTGCGCTTTTAGTACGTCTGTTTGCAGTTTGTGTTCGGGACTTCTAGTGCACTCGGACATATGAGGAAATAAAGTACGGCAATACCTGCTGTCCTGATACCTCACTAAAATAAATACTCCCGCAACGTTAAAATTGCGCTAACGTTTGGGTACCCCCTGAAAGAAATCTACGCAACCAATGGGACATCCACTTACTAACAATTTGGGCAATCATCTGTGCCGCGTCCAGCGAGGGGGTAACCCTAAGCATATATCCTACGACCTTCAAAAGTGCAACGGTGTTCCGCGGTTCAGCCGAGATTTCGTTCTTCAGCTTGGGCCTCTTTTCCTACTTGAGCTATTTCGTTGCGCTTCAAGTCACAAATCTGCCGGTTCGGCTGCTGCCAGAATGAAAGCCTAGCAACACCAGTCTCCTTAAGCGCAGTTAAATCACCCCTAACTCCAGTTACGCTCGGCCATAGTGACCACACTATACTCTCGAACAGTTGTTTCGGAAGAAGTGAAGAGTGCGCGTGTACAGCTTTGATGGCCACTTACCGCTCATTCACACTGGAAGCGGATCCGCGTTCGCAAAGCGGTTGCGAACGCGGTTGTATAAAGATCCAGTACAATTGCACGCGCACTCGATGACATCAAGTACGCGTGCAATTGCACTGGATCTTTATACAACCGCGTTCGCAACCGCTTTGCGAACGCGGATCCGCTTCCAGTGTGAATGAGCGGTAAAGGTGTGCAAGCGCACGCGCATGGCCAAACAAAGTTGTCTATAGTGTGATAACTGCGGTTAACGAAACTGAAGTTAAGTGTGCCCGCGTAACAGGAGTATTAGGCTTTCAAGAAATGAGGTGCAGCAGCCGCCGCAACTTCTTTGCTCAAGAACGGGTAATCATAAGCCTGCCAAAGTTACCTTCACTTGCATATTGCACCCGCCCGCACCCACGCAGAACGAGTCGGGACGCAGAACTTGCTCTCGGAACTATCTTCAGTGCAGACAAAGAGACAGCCTTGTAAACATGATACAGTGAAATCATTTGTTTGTATGGATAGCCCGCTATTGAAGCCAGATCAGCGTTCATTGTGGTGGTCTTGCTGCTTAGCACTTATCTTACACAAACCTACATTTCACACAATTGACGTTGTTTATTTCTCGGCCAGAAAAAGTAGTAATGACCGCCAAAATAGCGCATTGATGCCACCTGTAACTCATGTATGTGAACCCTTGGATAGAAGTAACTTCCAAAGCCTCGTGCTCGCGCAATTGACTTTGTCAACGCTGCAGTTGTTTGTGAGACGCGGTCTAAGTTTGATGACCACTGTAGATGCATTCACAAAGAGTAGCTGAAGTTATTAAATGCACTTTCAAATTTTGCTGTCCCTTTTTACGTTCCAGATGACCGTCCATGCAGTTTCAACATTCATCGGGCAGACCGCGTCCGAATTGCTGGAAACTTCTGTCGCGCGTGTCTTGCAGAAGTTCTCAGCAGTTCAGAACAAGCGCTTTCACCAAAAAAAGATGGCAACCACGGGCGCCGGTTTACCCCTGTACAGTACTTTGTAAGATAGTTCTATATTTTGTAATTGTCGTATTGCGTTCTTCGCCTTGCCAGAAGTGTACTTATTTTACCGCATCAATAAACATCATTTATTTAGTTTTCTATTTCGATAATTGATAAGCGAAGGCATCAAGGTAAGTCCAATCGCCTTGTACAACATTTTGTTATGCCCGGTAGTCCATGACAGCTTTAAAAGTGCCCGTGTATCTATAGTGCGGCCCACAGTGTTTTCTACGCTGTAAAATAACGCGGAAAAACCGGCCCCGGCAAGTAGAAAGTTGAAACGTTCATCGTATGTTCATATAGGTGGTTGACTGAACTCTGTAAAATTTTAAGGCGTAATCATGTTCCTTTGAGAAATGAATGTCAACGAACTTGCCAGAGTCAGCGGCGGGCGTGTTCGCAGATGACCGTGTTAACGAGGAATGTAACTTGCGCCGCCATCTCCCGATAGACGCAGCGAGCAGACAACAGAGTGCGTCGTCTGCTGACTGAACCTACCGGGAGATGGCACCACAAGTTCATCGTTAACTGTCTTCTGCGAAGAAGTCCACCGTTTGGAGATTCTGGCAAGTTTGTTGCTTTCACTTGGGGGATCGGTGGCCGAGTGGGCTAAAGCGCACACCCAGCTCGACGCGCGTGGAGCGAAAGCTCGCACTGCAGAACCCAGGGATCCTGGGCTCGAGCCCCACCCCTGCCCGTTTCGATCTGGATGAGCATCGTACCGGCGTGCGGTCGTGTATCACTACTGCGTGGTGCACGTTAAAGACCCCAGGCTAGCGGTTGTACTGCACTGGCTAAATTGCTCATCTACAGTGTAAACCAGTGTCGCCCCTACTGGCAGACCAACCTTACGCTGTATAAATCACTCAAACGTCCAATTTTTGCTTTCATTTATCAAAAGACGAGTATACTCTAGTTTTAGAAATTAACCTAGTTTTATTTTAATTCAGGGCACAGCTGATGCTACCAACCGATGAAACCGATCAAGCATCGCCAAGCGCACACCCTCATGACATCTTTCTGTGCGTGTTCTATAATCGGCTAAACCGATCAGGCGTAGAGAATGCAAAGTGCCCTTGCGCCTCTCACATGTGTGTTCTTCTGCATGTATTTCAGAGCGCGACGCTCCCTGGATTAAAAGATAACTCAGAAAAGACTACATTTCTCAATGCGCAGAGGTCCACCCAAGCCTGCCGTCAAAACAAGAAATGAGACTGTGGGCCCCTATAGTATCTGATTCGGTGCAGAAAACTTTCAGCAAGAAAACAATAATCTCTTTCTTGATAAAAGTGTTTTTTTTTTTGCTAACACATATATTGTTAACACAAGTGTTAACAATATAATTTATTGATTTGACGATATAAGGCTTAGGTGACCGACGGCTCATACTGAAATTTCGCTTTTCTTTATTATTTTCTGAACCAGGTAACGTCACGCTGTCAAGCTTTGGCGTTATGTCGTAACCGCTAGTTTCACATTCCCACGGAGTATGAGCTTTCTACGATGCGTATTTTATTTATCCAGCCAGATAAACACGGTTCACTTTTCTCGGGAACTCCCTGTATAAATAAAGTTTCAGCCTCTCATTCGCGGAGCTCCTTCCGCAGATCGCAGCCACTGACTCTCCCAGATTTTTTGTCGGAAAGTAGACAGGCCTCAATTTTAAGAACGCAGCTTCGAAACCTATCTGTCCAACCGGAAACAATTACTTTTTTTTTTATTGTGCATGAACGCAGAGGGTGCTGGTATTCTTTCAAACTATCGCTTTGAACATCTCGAAAAGCGTTTTAGCTAATACTGGTCTATATTTTGGTGTCCTATTAGTTTTATTGATCATGAATTAATTATTTTACGAACATTTCCTTCGAGAGTTGAGATAATGTAAATAAACCGAAGCTATGCTTGAACTTTCTTACGTCTACTGCCTCATTGTCTTAGTTTCTTGCGCCACGGGTCGACAAAACCTCAATCTCTATATAAAAAAAAGTTTGTCAATTAATTTTTATGCAGGACACGGAGGGAGCCAATTATGATGAACGATGGAAGGATTGTACCTGCTCACGTCATGATATTTCGGTCTCATCATATTCCGAGCTTCGTTATTCACTGGGATCATTCTACTGTTCCTACAGTATATCTCTCTCTGTTTTGTAGGAAAGTAAACTCACAGACGTTTCTCAAAGTGCAGAGCGAAAATAGGGTGTGACGTGTAATTGCCCCGGACTCACAATGTCAGTAGTAGCATCATCATGGTGCCTGGAACGCGTCTATGACTGTCGTGTTTACTGCGTTCAATTAATTAGTCCCCTCATTTACACCTGATGACGTCATAGAAAAATCATGCTGTCACCGGCCGCGATCCTGGCGGCGTCACATCAGCGGTGGAGTATGTGGCAGACGCCTGTTCCGTTGCAAGACGCTTTCCAGTCTGACAGCTCACCGAAGCTTCGGTAGCCAGCAGTTTGGACGCTAGGACGGGCGCAACACTCGCGTTTGCTTTTGCTTTTACAGCGTAGCTGTTAAAAGCCAGTTTCCCCAATATCGTCTCCCCCGCAAAAAAAAAAAAAAAAAAATGTCGACACAAAATTCTGGTTGTCGCCGTCGCTCATAGATGGAGCAACCTTTCGAGCCTTTCCACTCTGGCTTGCTGACTTGCGGACGGCCATTACCTCATTCCCATCATAATACAGCTCCGCTGGTCTTCCTTATTCACCAAAATAAAAAAGCTAAACTTTTTTTTTTTTTGGCTGAACTTACGGTTATTACCAGCATCGAGACATCCGACAGCATGACACTCGGGCTTTTGTGACGACACTTCATGCCACTTCGGCTCCACTTTCGATTTTTGACCGGAATAGGAGGCTAAACACACCACAGGCGGAGACGGGGTCTGTAACACCGTGGCAGCACTGCATATATTTTCCACACTAGAGTTAGTGACAGCTTAAGAAACGTGGCAGGGTGCGGCTCATTTCGTTCGCGCTTCTTGCCTCCTGATTGGTGCTCCGACAGTCTCAGGGGTAAATACCGCAACATGATTGGCTCCGAAGTGATATAAGAAGATACGCTTAACTTGCCATGCCCTGCGCTTTTTACGCTTTCAGGGAGTCTCCTTTGTATACCGGAGGGAACCTCCGAGCTGCTTAAAATTTGTCCGTGCATTAGTTTTAAAAGCTTTATACGATATCACGATTTTAGATAGCGAACACGAAATTATATCGAAATCGCCTCCAGAGCTAAGGCATATTTAACCATATAGAACTTCTTTTGATTAAAATAACGCTCGATGCTGTATGCGGTGTCCTATCGCGGATGTAGACGCACGAAATGCTGGGCGATATTGTCCACATAACATCACAACAAAGCACAGTAGGCATAGTAATAATGTCAATAGGCTCCCTGAAAATAAGCAATTCAGATTACAAAAAAAAAAATGTTGACATGGTTTTTTTTTCTTTTTTGGTCAAGCCTAAATTAAATACGGGCTCGGTATCTTTTAGGCGATCCTTAAAACTGTCACTCCAAGACATGCAATTATATTGGTATCGAGTAGAAGTTCGTTTAATTTTAATTATATACTCAAAATTTCGAACCAACATGAAGCTAAAAGAATCTCTCGAAAACCGCCCATAAATTATGGGAATAACGCTAATAATGTGTCGGTCTTGCCATGGGCACGCGTCTGTAAGGACCTACAACATTTGTAATGAATGTAAAATAGGAAAAAAAATGATACCGATAATATTTATGCTTTAGCAAAAGTATTGAGGAGCAGTAATGCGAGATATTGCTCTGTTTTAGATCGAGGTAACCCTATCGGAAACTTGTATTCTTCGAGTGTGTACGAAACTACACCTTCTTCGCTTGACAGTCACATCAGTAAGTAGTCCGTTGGCGAGGCTAATGGCATACAACTGTCATTAACTACTACGGAAACGTAATTGTATCATTCTTTAGACTATTTAAATAAACAGCAATTTGACGTGTTCGTGGTTTTATGAATTACATGAGGAATAAAGATTTAATTGCAGCATGAAGAATCAAAGCTTTGATTTGCGATATTTCCTTTTAGAACGCATGAAATTCTGCCAGCCCACGTCACAAAACGTGGGACCACTTTTCTATAGAAAACGAGAGCGAGAATGACACCAATATTTTTCACGAACGTTGTACAGTCTTCTGAGTTTATCCTTTCTCAAACGCTACCGCTCACGGGCTGGTGCGCGACCACAGCGTGGGAGAAGAACAGGAGACCATTGATCATGCACAGCACGCTCGCGAAGGCACCGAGCGTGTACGGTTCTCCCTTGGACTCATGGCACATATAGTTGGCGCTACTTGGAACGTACGCTGCCATGGCGATCGACGTGTGCACCTTGACGACGCAACTGTACGGCAGGTGAGGCGAACCATAGAGGCACGCGAAGAGATGAACGACGGAGGTAACCAGGAAGACAGTGGCCACGGCGACCATGATGGCGACGTCGACGCGATGGTGAAGAATTGACAAGTCGTGGGTTTTTAGCAGGATGCCCAAGGCCGGGATGCCGCAGACGACCTCGAACATGTTGATCATGCCCATAGGCGTGCCGATGTAGTCCAGGTTTCGGCTCATCCGGACTCTGTATAGTCATAGGTGCTATTTCGGGTGAGAACCAGAGGGTGCCTTGGCGACGGCCATGGACAGATGGGAATTTCTTCCTCCTCGTCTTTGTTAGGGTGTCTCTATATGTACATAAACGCGCCACAACTCGGGGTAAGTGGAGCGATAGCTCGCGTTGCAGAAACCACTCCTGCTTATTTTAATCTGGATGAACACCATACCGGCGTGCGGTCGTGTATCACTACTGCGTGGTGCACGTAAAAGGCTTCAGGCTATAGTATAGCGTTCGCTCAGTAGTGGCTAAATTCGCCAGTAACAATGTCGCCACGCTCTGACAGACTAAACTTCTACTGTCTAAACAACAAACAACTATACTTCGTACAGAATCAAAAGTTAAAAATATGCCCTGAACACTTCGAGACAGATAAAATGTGATCCATGATATCCGCAAATGATAATCACATGTTTGTATTTTCAGTGGATGGCGATATTTTTCGT